TGAGATTCATTATAACGCCCATTCTCATTGACTTTTATCTACTTTTGAAGACCTGCAATGTCTCCAATGTGTTGGTTTTGTCGGTTTTGTTCTTTACTATTTTGTTCAATTGTATTATAACTAATGATATAGGCAATTCTATTAGAGATAGCGGGAGGCATTATGGTAACCATTGATGATCACCTTGTATTATGTTTTTATATTATCTATTATGTCCACCCTTTTGACTTGACCGATTCTGTCCTGTTATGTCTCATTTGGTTTTACTCTCTTCCAAAAAAGCAATAAGAACCGTGGGAGCAATGAAACCCAAAATGTGTAATAGTCATTGTACAAAAGAGAGGAAAAGAAAGTGCTCTAAACTATATAACTGCATGTATATTTAAGTGTATAAGATAGAAAATGATATCACAGAGTTTTATTGGATCATTGAACAGAACTGTTTGCAGTATCATTGTTGGAATGTCCACTCTACAAGCTTTAATTTTGTGACTTGAACAATTATTTTTAAGATGGCAATATGTAATCCATTAACTAGTGATTTCCTACTGTTCATTTTTTTCTTCTGTAAATCTGTATAACTTGTACCCTTTCACTTTTTTTTTTCTTTTCTCCTTAAATAAAAAAAAAAAGCCTGTGGATACATATTCTTTTAACAGTTTCTGGCCCTGTTACTTATTAATAAGTTTCTATATCTTTGGTTAATGTGCATGTATTTATATAACAGTTGCATACTTTAAGGAAAGTAAGATAAGATAATTAATGAAACATCACAAAAATTTGTATTATAGTCACGTTTTATTCAGTTATGTGTGCATTACAGTTTGGATGCTAATTTTTCCCGAGGTTGATGTGGTAAAGGCGTGGTCCCCAGGGTGGTACTGTTGAGAGGTAGTGAGACCCTTGAGAGATGGGTCTGCACAGGGGACATTCAGGTCTTGGATGTATGCCCTTGAAGGGATTGAGAGACTAATCTTTTCCTTCTCTTTTCTTTTGAATCCTGGAAATGAGGTGAGCAGTTTTATTCTGCCACAGATTTTCAACATGATGTGCCGTCTTACAACAGGCCCAGTGCAACCGGGCAAAACCTTTATGAAATAAAACTTATAAAATTATAAGTCAAAATAAATCTTTTCTCTTTATTGATTAAATATATTGAGTATTATAGTGACAAAAAGGTAACAGTGCATTATATTATTTTAGTGAACAAGTTTATAGTAGTAAATAATTTCATCTCAAGAATATTTTATCTATGGTAAGCAATGATAAAGCCTTTTGTAAAACCAGAACTTTAGAAAGTGTAATATATACCCACTGAGCTCTAACTCTTAAGAGGCTGAAAACCAGCACAAATACTGGGTATTCAATTTTAATGACTGCACTTGACAAGTGATTCTAGAAAGAGACAAGTTCAAGAAAATATTTTTCCAGTATGTAAGAAGTTAGCTGGGGCCACGTGACTAAGTTTTCACCGATGGAATTTGGACAGGAGTCACGTATGCCCTTTTTGGCTTGGATCATATATATTTCCCAAGTGTGACTCCCCTCACTTTTTTATTGCTAACAACCTTGGACACCACATGTTAAACAAAATGCAAAGGGTTCCACAATGATTGACTTTGTAGTGCTATCGATCTCACCCCTTACCTCTGTGAAATCTGACATAGCAATTGCTGGTAGAAAGCTGGTACAACATGTCTTACCTACTAAAGAAGTTATCTTAGGCAGTGCCCAGCAGATCCAGGAGCAAGACCCCAAATTTGGATTCAACTGTGTCTTGGTTACTTTTACTTTTCTCTTGTTGCTCGGACAAAATACTCAACACCCAAAATGAAGCAAGGAAAGGTTTCTTTAGCTCACTGCAGAGGGTTCAGTCCATAATCAGCTGGCTCCAAGGCAAGGTGGCACAGCACAGGGGCAACATTTCAAGGCAGTACCCACAGCAAAAAAGTCAGAGCAAGAGGGAGCAACACAAGCCTCTTTTCCTGCTTTATATTGTACACAGGCCACATCCTCCACTTCAGGGTGGGTGCAGCACTTACAAAATCTCCTTGCCCTCCTTTGCACAGGATGAGGATATTTACAAAGTAAGAACCCTGGCTTGCTGCTGAGTCTTAGTTAAACTTCTAAATTTCTGAAGTTGACACAATGTATCAACCATAGCAACCTGGGACTTGTATAACCTTTCCAAAATTTCACTAAGAGGAGAGAGTAGAGGAAATACTGCTTTCCTGTGTCTTCCCCTCCTTTCTACTCCCTGTGACTGAATGTAACCAAGAACTAGAAACATTTATTCCAGTCTTGCATCAAAGGGACTATGGCTCTTTCCTCTTCTCTTTCCTATATGCACTCACCTTCAGTTTCTCATTTCTTAAGAAAGAATTGTGTAGAGGAAGGGAAATGTCCTTTGTTTAAAGAATGCATAGTATTGTGAGCTTGAATAAAGAATGTCCAGAGAAAGGTATTGTCATTAAAGATTTAATTATTTTGTAGTGATGTTGCACAATGTTTCTCAGATTTGCAGTTTCAGGAACTCAGTATAGGCTTTTGTGCCAGCTCAACTTGGAATGGAAACTTTGCTCTGCCATTTGCTCACTTTGTGGCTTGTTGCATTTTTTGAGCATGTTACTTCACCTTTAAAGTCTCGTTCTCACCTGAGAAAAGAGGATAACAGAAGTGACCTGCAATGCTACTTTGAGAAATGAATAATGTGTTAAATGCAGGATTTTGTTCTAAAAACTTCCTGGTTCAAAGCAGAAAAACAAAAAAATATTCTACAGATCATGAGAAGCAGTGACCTGTACTTGCAATCAAGTGTGGTATTTCTCCTCTTCACTACCTCTGTGTGAACTTGAAGGTAAACAGGTCAGCGCCTGGGCCATGAAGCCAGGTCTGCTTTCTTACCTCCTTTAACTACTACTGCAGGTGACTCTTTCACCACCAGAATTCTGTTCTATTCGAAACCAAATGCAGAAACATCAGCAGATCCTTGATTTACTTACTTCCACTAATTACACTGAATTTTGTTCCTAGGCAAGGTTTTACATTCAATAACAGCTTTTGTCTAGAGCGATGCATTGAATCTGAAGCAGAATACCAAGTAGTAGAATGAGCTCTGGGGTTTTGAGTCATGGCTGTGTTGCTGACCCTGGGCTAACGTGGGAAGTCACCAAGTTTCAATAAATTTCAATCACCCAACAAAATAATTTATTAGCACATGTTCGCAGTACATGGTAATCACATTCATTGTGGGGGGTTGGTACGTGTGTCAATTCTTTTTACTTTCATTTTCTTCTCTCAATTCTTTTTACTTTACCTTTCCTTTCCTCATTACTCCCTCCATCTGTAGATTTCTTTTTCATTTACAAAAGATCTAGCTCCATAATTCCTATTATCCATCCTTTATTTTGCTCTTTAAATTATTTATACTTTGAGTTTCTCAAATAAGAAAAACCATACAATATTGAAGCTTGTCTGCTTGATTTATTTCACATCACATTATGGTTTCAAGTTGCCTTCATTTTCCTGCAAATGACTTAAATTTATCCTTCTTTAATGTTCCTTGATGATTTCCGAAAGGGCTTGGTTAGAAGAACTCGAATCTCTCCATCACCTGCATCTCCCAGGAGCAGAAACCCTCTCTCACAACATACTGGGTTTCTCTCTAGCCATCCTAGCAATCCCAACCAAGAGCAGTCCAATTAAGTCCTGTTTCTTCTAACATTCACCTAACACTACCACACTTGCATATATATATATATATATATATATATATATATATATATATTATTGATAACTGTGAGTTGTTAGAGACCTTATAACTTATTTTAACTTGTAATAGTCGCAAGTCAAAATCACATCAGTAAAAATGAACAGTAAAAATTCCCATCCTGATTGCCTCCCTCATTTGCCCTCCATTCCCCCAAATATAATTTTAATTTATTTCTTATAGAGTAAATGCAAATATTAAATTGTTTGACAACTTTACCCAAACATTATATTTTCTATACATTATTCTATATCTTGCTTAGGTTTATTTTGGTACCAGGGATCAAACTCATGACTGCAAGCTTGCAGGGCAGGCACTTATGCCACTGAGCTAAATTCCCAGCCCCTCTTGCCTAGTATTTTAAGTACAGAAAGAACCCTTTCATGGTTTTGTTTGGCTGAGTGATGTTTTTATGTGAATATATTTATCTATAATTACAATAATTTAGGTAATTTTCTATCTTCTGATATTTCAGATAATGTCATAGTGAAAAATATTATATTTATGTCATTGCACATACATACACATGTATTTTTATATGATACATTTCCATACCTAGAATTGATGCATCAAAGTCTATATGCATCTCTAATTTTGATAGATAATAGCAAATTGTCTTCATAATGGTAGTACCACTGGTGCAAGTTATACAAATTGTAGGAGCATCCCTCTCTAATGTCTTAAGTGTGAAGTGTGTGTGTGCATGTGTGTGTAATTTTTATTATTAGTGAGGTTGAATCTTAGATCACATTTGCTCTTTTTCTTTGAAAACTGTGCTTGTCCTTTGGCTACATTTCAATTTTATCTTCTGTAACTTAAATATTCAGTATGTAATGCTATTTTCAAATTTTTCAATGCAAATTATTCCTAGCATTGTAATATTTTGCATTACATCTACTAATTTCTGACAAATAAGGGAATAATTGGAATTGATATACTATGTTAAGGAAGGTATTACACTGGAAACATATTTCTTTATAGCTACCCGCCAACTTCTATGAAAATATACCTATTTGAAGAAACAATTATGAAATATTAATGAATTTATTTTGACTTACAAGCAATTTAAATAGATAGGAGATATAAAATGACATAAAAATAAAACCAATTGTAAATGCATACAATCTTAAAACATAGTTAACTATATAATATAAATAAAAATGCTATCATTTTATAAGAAGAAACAATAATATTCATATAAATATGTCACTCCTTGGCCAAATTTATGCATTTAAAACCTGTATGTAGTTAGCTCTTGTTTCACACTGTTCAAGGATATATTTCTTATTTGCTCAGCTTTCCTGTGAGTCTGAATAAAAATAACAGATATTGATTGATTTCCACCAGGACAATGCTGCATCCCTGGTTTTCCAGATAATTTCTTATCATTCAGAAGTATGCTTGCTCTATCCTGCAATCTCAGGTTCTCACCACTCAAGGCACCATCTTCCTGCTCTGGCTCTGCTTTTAGTCTCATAAGTGCTACTATGTATTCCAGCTACTGATTAAGTTCGATGAGGAAATTCTATGTGTGGTTATCCTTCCAACTATTCAAATAAATATTTACCTTGAAGAGGCTGACGCCTCTGATACCAAGGCATGGTCTTTTTGGCATGGTTTAGAACCCACAGATTTCTGAGGAATCAGGAAACTTTTCTTGTGTAGTAGACACTGCTGAACCAGTGAAGTTCGCAAATTATTCAGTAGTTGTAAGCTCAGTCTGTTCATTCTTTGTTGGAAGACAGCCAGTTTCAGTTCTAGGGAAAAGATAGTGGAAGAGGCCAGCAGCACCAGCACAATGTCAAGGTGCTGCTTGTGAAATGGAGAAGGTTAAATGTGCTACTTATGTCTGTGCAGAACTAATAGAACCTTACTTCTAGTGAATGCTTACCGTTCATGCATTTCAGATTTTTTTGTTTTCTTATGTTGTTATTTATCCAGGTCCACATTAACTTTTATACTTCGCTTTTCATAGTATTTTTGAGATTGAGTGTTGGAAGAAGTAACCAAGAAAACTTGCATTGCACACTTTTCTTGAGATAATTGCCAACCAGCCATGCAAGTTCTATTTTCCTTACTCTTTATTACATAGCAAGTTTCACTTAATGGAAGGTGGTGTTTAAAAAATTAGTCAAGCTTATTAAAATTCTTTTATTGAAAGAACTTTTTTTTAAAAAAACACAAGTAGCTTTCTTTCATGGAGTAATATTTATCTAAGACTTGTCATCACCTGTGTGATACTTAGAGGAAAATTTTAAAGTCCATACCGGCTACTAAATTTAAAATATCAAGCAGAACTATAAATTTATACAGATGCTTGAGCAAATTAATATTATAACATGTATTAGCAATCTTATATGGTCTTATATCTTATCAAATCAGTATAAAATCTAAGACTTTAGCATATGGAGGTAATAGAAAAGAGAAAACATTTAGCAAAAGAAAGTTGTTATATTATTGTAGTCGCAGAATACTAACAACCCATGGGTCCAACAAGAGAATGGTATCTTCATATAATGGAAGCTTGTGAAATCATTAAATGATATAAATAAGTGAGAATAGATTAGAGGCAGTTTGTTAGTCTGTATTCCCTAGGTAGTGATCATTGGTAAACCACAGTGAACATTTCTACATCAGTAATAACTCTTGAATTTTAAATATCCAATCTATGTTCTAAATTCCTCAGTCTTTTCAGTCTTATTTTCTACTGTTTTTCTCAGTAGAGCTACAGATTCTCTCTGTATGGGTTTGTGGTTTTTTATGATGGTTTCTTTCACTGAAACATTAATGGTAGCCTCTTTCACCAAATCCATGTCTGTGAAAGGACTAAGGGATTACTTGTTCATTAATGCCAAGATATTCCCCAGGAATTATAATCTCACTCTTGAGCAAGACAGCACTTTGTATTTTCTTGAAGATAGCTTTATTCTTTGGTCATACTATTTATTCACATATTTTATCATCTTTCAGGAGTAAAAGCATCTTAAGAATACAAAATATGCATTCATTCTTTTTACTGTGTATACACTTATACTAGGTGCTTAATAAACATGTACTGACTTAGAGTGCATTAATATGTTTTGCACAAAGTAATACAATGTTCTGAATCATATCTTCAATTATTTCTTACAGACAGTAGTTGGATGAATCCTTGGTTATTAAAAAATGCTTTGTATCTGAATGGATCAACGATCTAAATACCAAAACAGAAACACTAAATCTACTGGAAGACAAGGTAGATAGAAGTTTTGCAGACAGGGGTAGGCAGAGAATTTATGAACAAAATGCAAACTGTGGGGAAATACTTCAAAAGAATCAGCAACTGGAATCTCATATTATTGAAAAGTTTCTGTACTTCAAAAGAAATCACCAACAGAGTGAAAAGAAAACCCACAGAATGGGGAATAATTTTACCCAGCAACCCTTTAGACAAAGGATTTTTATAACCAGACGTACAAAGAATTGAAAAACATCAAGCCCCGCAAATTCAAAGACATTGTCCAAAAATGAGCATCTGAGATGAACACACAGTAAATGGAGGCAACTTGACACTATTCTCATCTGTGAAATAAATAATCATATTTATAAATATCACATTGTGTCTCTATTGTAAACAGTAATAAAAACTGTAGGAGTAATAAAATCCAAAATGTGTAATTGCTATTGTAAAAAAAGAGAGGAAAAGAAAGTGCTCTAAAGGATAAAACTGCATTACGTTTAAGTGTGTAAGATAGATGACCATATTACTAAGATTTTGTTGTATCATTGAACAGAACTATTTGCAGTCTCACTGTTTGAATGTCCACTTTGCATGCTTTAATTTTGTAACTTGCACAACTATTTCTAAGATGACAGAATGTAATTTATCAACTAGTGATTTCTTAATGTTTATTTTTGTTTTGAAATTCTGTATTATTACTACCCTTTTTTCTGTTTTGTTTTTTCTCTTTAAATAAAAAAATTTTTGAGACACTTTGTAAACTTACATGGTCTCATTATATATTAGCTAAGCTGTATATCGGGATCATTTGTACACCTGGCATCACTGAGTTGAATCCACTGAAGCAGCATACTCACGGAGGGAGGGAAGGAGGAAAAGGTGAAAAGATTTATTGTAATTTTTAAAAAATTATTTATTTTATTTTAAAAAGAATAAAACAACAGAAAACTGAATCAAGCAAACCATAAGAGAACAATGCAAGTGATATAGCACTTCAAAATAAGACAACAGGAAATCACCAATGGCTACCACAAAATCTCTCATTTTGTTCAAAATAGCTATCCATACCACCACATGCAATAAAATCAAAACTAAATTGAATGAAACTAATCAAAACAAAACAATGAAAGTATTATAGGACTTCAAAATAAGATAACAATAAATCAATAATTGCTACCATAAGGTCTCTAGTTTCTTTAAAACAGTTGTCCATAGTATCACATATAATAAAATCATATAAAACAAAATAGAATAAAACCAATCAAAACAAAAGAATGAAAGTATAATAGGACTTCAAAACAAGATGATATGAAATCAACAATGTTTACAATAATGTCTTGTATCCTTCAAAATAGCTGTCCATACCATCGCACATAATAAAATGAAAAAAAAAATAATAAAACCAATCAAAACAAAAGAATGAGAGCAGTTTAGGACTTCAAAACAAGATAATAGGAGATCAACAATGGTTACCATAATACAACCTGTTGTTTTCAAAATAGCTGCTCATGCCATCAGACACAGTAAAATCTAAATAAAAAAAATACAGAATAAAACTAAACCTAACTACATATGAAAATGATACAAAATTTTAAAATAAGATAATAGGAAATTAACAGTGGTTACCATTTTCCCTTTTCAGGTGTTTCCTCTCCTATTACTTTGATAATATCTGTTGTGCTTATTGGATCCCACTAACACCTTCAATTTTTATGCTAGTAAGATACCTTTGTGTTCACCCACATGAGTACAAACCATTTCACCCATGAGCATGATCACAAGTTGCATCCATTTACCTACAAGAGCCTTGAGATTATCCTTCTTTTTAGGTGAGAAACTTTCCATTGTATGAAAATACCATATCTTTCTTACACATTCTGCAGTTGATGGGAAAGTTACCCTTGCTTTTTTCTTGCCTCCAGTCATGTGAAAAAATTGTATTCTCTCCTTTGATTTTCAAAAGTCTCTCCTTTTGAGTTAAATGTGTTTCTTGCATAGAGTATGTTGCTGGATCTTGTTTCTTGATCCACGCTGCTTATGTTTCCTTTTATTGGTAAATGAAGACCATTTACATAAATGGTTACAGTCAACATACATTGGTTCATGTCTGCCATGCTTTTTCCCCACCATTGGCTCCCTACTTTTTCCTCCATTCAAATCTCTGTCCCACTCTGTGATCCCACACTACTGGTTTTTCTGGGACTGTAGCCATTTTCTTCTCTCTCTAGAATATCCTTCAATACTCTTTGGAGGACTGGTTTGGTGGTCATGAATTTCTTCAGTTGTTCTTTGTCTTGGAAGCATTTTTTTTCTCCATCAATTTTGAAAGATAGTTTAGCAGGGTACATAAATCTGGATTGGAAGTTGTTTTCTCTCAGGATTTGAAATAGTTTACTCCAAGATCTTGAGCTGATGGTTTGTGTTGAGAAGTCTATCATGATTCTAATGAGTTTTTCTTTATAGGTGATGTGTTGTTTTTCTCTAATAACCTTTGATATTCTATTTTTGTGCTGAATTTCTGGGAGCTTTATTTTTATACATCTGAGTGTAGATTTACTTTGGCTATGGCTAGTTGGAGTCCTGCATGCCTCATTTATCTGCATGTTAGGTCCTTTTCCTGTTCTTGGGAAGTTCTTTGCTATTGCTTCTGTAAATAGTGTCTTTATGTCATTTGTGTTGACTCCTGCTTCTTTACTGATACCTATCATTCTTAAATTATTTTTCTTTGTATCATCTTGCAGCTGTTAAATGGTTACTTCCTGGTCCCTTGTTTTTCAGAGAGCTTTCCTTTCATAATGACTAGCTGTCATACTGTCTTGAAGGTCTGACGGTCTATCTTCAGCGTCTATGAAGCAATTTTGTCAGCTTAATATTGACTTTTTAATTTTCTGGATATCTCTTTAAATGTTTCATACATTGTAATTCTTTTCTATTTTGTTCATTCAAGGTTTCCACCATTTTCCTGTTCTCTTCTTTTTTGATAATATATATCCTCTTTAGATATGCTCAGCAATTCTTTCATTTTGTTTGTGATTTCTTCTTTTAACTGAGGTTTTTATTTCTGATCTGATTACTTTTACAGTCTCATGAAGTTGTTTCTTTACTTCAGTTGCTATTCTCTCAGAAATTTCAGGTATGGAACTTCTGTTTCCTTCCATCACTATATCTGCTAGACTTGTTCTGTGTGGGATAGAGTTCTGAGATTGCTGTTTGCTCCTTCATCTTAAGATTCTCCTAGGTTCCTCCCAACAAGCCAGTTGTGGGGTCCTTGGCACTTCCCACACTGGCTTCCTTTTCATGGTGTAGGGGAATGGGACAGACACCTGGGTTTCTCTGAACTTGCCTCCCAGGGAGGGAGCAGAGCATGATGCAGGGTTCTCCAGATCTGTGCAGCTATGCTGAGGCTTTGCTGATGGCCAGGGTATGTGGTAATGAGGCTGCTTCTTGTCTCAGTCTATGTGTCTACACTGGGTCTCCCCTGATAGTGGCAGGCACAAAAAAGGTGTTTTTATGATTCTCCTGGTTGGCACTGACTGCCCAAAGGAAGCAAGGGTCTCCAATGTTAGTCTGCAGTTGCACCGGGCTGCAGGATCCCTACCTGTGCTGACTGCCCACAGGACACAAGCCTTCCATTGGTGGTGGTAGGCACACAGGGGTGAATTTAACTGCCTGAAATGTATAAGATACAAAAGGAATAACTCATGTTTCAGTACTGGTCTTTATATGATAAAAATTTCACTACTCTCAACACAGGATACTAAATCTTTAATACAGCTCTTCAAGAAAACAACATATGGATACTGTCTTAGTTACTTTTCTCATTGCTGGGATGAAATAATTGATGCCCCAAATTGAGGAAGGTAAGGTTTATTTAGCTCACTGTTTGTGGAGGTTTCAGTCTGTAATCAAGGCAGGGTGGCATGGCAGAGGGGCAACTGTTCATGGTGGCAGAACAACAAAAGCAATGAGAGAGGAACAAGAGCAAACAGGGCAAAGGAGGCCAAAAAGAAACAGCAAGCCTCTTTCCTCCCTTATTCTGCGTGCAGGCTACCCGCCCCACAGTGGAGTACCCCATACTTACACTGCCAATTCCAGAACAAGACAATGAACCAAAGTCACAAACTCTAGAGTTGGTTGCCTCTGAACAGCCCACCTCCATAACTGCATGAGGCTTTGGGGGAACATACAGACACAAACAATAGCAGATACATTAGAAATATCAGAAGTAACTTTATTAAATAGAAATGAACTTTTATTTAAAATCAAGGCTTTTACTTAATTTTCTTCTGATTTGTTTTGTCTTCAAAAAATTAAATTTGGGGGGAGGAGCAAGATGGTGGATAGATAACAACTTGCTACAGAGGCTCTCTGAGACAGTCAACTTAAAATTCAACATAATACAGAGTGGGGAGCCCCAAACAGAGGGAGATGAATTCTCTCGTCCTAAGAAGAAATTAAGACGACTTGCCAACCATCCAAGGTCCCGACGCAGTCCTGCTGCAGCTTGCCGTGGTCCCACTGTGGCTTGCCAAAGTCCCTCTGCGGCTTGTCGAGCTGTCTGAAGTCCTGCTGCTTCGACACTGAATTCGGGGACTGGTGAGCCAAAGGGAGAGCTGAATTGGCAGGGTGTCTACATCGGCCTGTGATGAATGACGAGAGTGGAGCCATTCCATAAGCAGAGGGTCTCCAGCAGATGACATTCTGGGACTGGGCAGGATTGACCAGTAGAAGGGGCAGCAGTGACTTCAGTCAATTGCTCCCTTCCAGAATGGGATTAGAGGAGTGAGCTAGGCCTGGGTCACGTGACCTGGCTGAGACCCAATAGGTTATCCAAAATCAAGTCCCTACAGTGGTGGCACACACTAACCACACTAACCCAGTGATATCTCAGAAGTTTGTCTGACAGTGCAGGTCACAGCAGCTTGACTGACCTGGAGGGGAGGCAGTGCAAAGAAATGTAGTGCATGTCACAGCAACTTGACTGATCACCGCTGCACTCCAGGCGCCACCTGTGGCACCTCTGGGCCACTGGTGAGACATGTGGCTACAGGCCTGGGAGTGACTAGGGGCCCACCGGCTGCCCCTGCCCCTGATCCCACTGCGGCCGCCATCCCGGAGGGGAGGTGATGCAAAGTAATACAGTGCAGGCCACAGCACTTGACTGATCTGGAGGGGAGGGGCCATCATATGCTGTCCCTGTCTGCAGCTCACTAGCACAGTGCAGTGGGAAGGGTCACCTAGCCAGCGTGCTTCAGAAGAATTGTAGCCAACAAAGAAAGAAACTGGGGCCTCCTGGAAGAAGCAAAAAAGATGGGAAGAGGAAGCAACAACAAAAAGTCCCCAGTTCCCAACCCTGAGAACATGGACCCAGGACAGGTAAATACAAAGGAGAACGAGAACAGCAAACATGCAATATCAGACATGGCATCAGTAGACATAAGGAGATATATTTGGGACCTCATAGTCGAGTTCAAAAATGAAATATTTAGCCAAATAAAGCAAGATATAAGAAAATTAATTAAAGAGATACTAAGCACCCTTCAAGCAGACACAGATGGAAGAAGGGAAGAACTCAAAAGAGAGAACCATTTGATGAAGAATATAAAAAAAATAGAATACATGGAGCAGATTCAAAGAGATCACCAGGAAATTAAAAACTCTATGGAAAGATGGCAAATCAACTTGAAAGAAAATAAGGATAGATTATCCAAACTGTAGGACAATTTTGCAATATGGGAGTATGAAAGGGAAAACTTTTTTAAAATAACAAGGAAACAAGCAGTAACAATACAAAGGCTAGAAGATGACAAAAGGATCTATAACTTGAGAATAAAGAATGTGAATGAAGAAGCTGGGGTACAAATAAAGGAACTACAAAGGTTATTCGCAGAAATAATTAAGGAAAACTTCCCAAACATAGGAAAAGGAAATGATATTCTGATATATGAAGCATACAGAACTCCAGCCACCTACAACCAAAACAGAGCTACACCCAGGCATATAATAATCAAGATCCCAGAAATTCAATATAAGAACAGAATATTAAAAGCTGTTAGAGACAAGAAACATATCACCTACAGAGGAAGGTCCATCAGAATAATGGCAGACTTCTCGACACAAACCATCAAGTCAAGAAGAGACTGGAGCGAAATATTCCAAGCCCTGAAAGAAAATAACCTCCAGCTTAGATTGATATACCCTGCTAAACTGTCTCTAGAAATTAGTGGAGAAACAAGATGCTTCCAATACAAAGAGGAACTTGGGAAATTCACAACCACCAATCCAACTCTACAGAGAATACTGCAGGGCATTCTAGAGAGAGAGAGAAAAGTACTAGGATTCCAGGGACAGTGGCAGAGAGGCCTCAATGAATGGAGCAGAAAACAGAATGAAGAAGATAAGCAGACAACTGGCGGCAAAAAGCATAACAGAAATGAGAGAGAATGTTGGTTATAATCTCTATTATAGATGGCCTTGATACACTAAATTTAAAAAAGAAAAAAAAGGAACTACATGTGGAGTAGATCAGGAGGTAGGGTCCACCGATATGCTATTTATAGGAAATATAATTAACATGAAAAAGAGTACGTGGACTGAAAATCAAATATGAGAAAACAATGCTCTATGTGACAGAGAACCAGAGAGTAATAGGGGCAACTAGACTAGTATTTGTGGATAGACTGGAAAGACAGGTTTTAATAGGTAAAGGAATACAGTTAGAGATCAAGTCTAGGGGAGAGAAGGTTCAGAACCACTTAGGTAAATAGCAGGTTGCCCTCCCCCCCAATTTAAAACCAAGGGTCTTGCTCAGACCCAAAAATGCACAGTGTACTCTGGGGAAGTGAAAAGGGAGGGAGAGTCTTAAAAAAGATGGCAGAAGGTATTGTTAATAGTGTATCAGGATTTAAAACCCACATTACTTGCACCACTCTGCTTAGATAGATTTTATTCTGTCCCAGTTTGTCTACTTGCATTAGATTTGAGAGCACAGATAGCTATCCCCAAAACACCAGGATATAGCACAATAATCATCTTTAATTTCCTAATAACTTAATCTGGAGCCCTGTAAGACTTATTCTGTTTTATCATGACTGATCTTAGTTAAATCTGGTTTGCTTGATTGCATGAGTCTAGGCTCTGACTACCTCCCTGTCTACCTAGCTAGAACACGGTCACATCTTGAATCGGACACTGCCAGAAAACTGTAGACTCCAGAAGATAATCATAGTCTTGAAATCACTGAGAAATTTTTTGTCTTTTTTCTTTGCTTTTGGTATTTTAAAACAATTTGTGTTATTTTTGCTTTTTTATTTTTTGTTTTTTTTAGACAGACTCTCACTGTGTAGCCTAGACTAGCCTCAAAACTCACAATACTCCTCCTGCCTCAGTCTCCTAAGTGCTGGGTTTACAAGCCTGCATCACATCACTTAAAATTTTTGTTTAGTTTTAACTTTTTTGATTGCTTATTTTTGGGGGGAGGGGAGCTGGTGAGTATGAACATTGTTTTTAGTTTTTGGTTTGTTTTGTTGTTTTTGTTCTTTCCTTCTTTAATATTCTGCTATCCTCTTCATCAGTTTCCTGAGTCTTCTAGGCATATTCCCAGAAATACTGAAAGCATCATACCACAGTGATATATGTGCGCCCATGTTTATAGCAGCACAATTTGTAATAGCCAAATCTTGGAAACAACCTAAGTGTACATCAACTGAGGAGTGGATAAAAAAGATGTGGTATTTTTATATAATGGAGTACTACTCAGTTATAAAGAATGATCACATTGAGATATTTATAAATAAATGGACACAACTTGAGACCATACTCATAAGTGAAATAAATCAAACTCACATGTATAAATACTGTATAGTCTCCATAGTGTAAGAAATGGGAAGAGTACATAAGATTTTATGGTAATCATGGTTCCCCATTATATTGCTTTGAAGTCTGATAATATTTTCATTCATTAGTTGGAATGGTTTTATTGTTTTGTGGATTTTATTATGTGTGATTGTATAAACAGCTACTCTGAAGAAAACAAGACATCATGGCAGCCATTGCTGATTTACTATCATTGCTTTGAAGTCCTACCATGCTTTTGTTCTTTTATTTTCATTGGTTCTACCGTGTTGTCTTACTGGATTTTAATATGTGTGATAGTATAAACAAATTTTTTAAGGAAAATGAGATGTTATAGTAGCTATTGTTCATTATTGGTTATTTTCTTTTGAATTCCCTGTAATACTTTCATTCTCTTGAATGGTTTTATACTATTTTGTTATGTTTGATACTATTGTGTGTGAAGGTTTGCTCAAGTATTTCAAAGAAAAGACACTGTACAGTAGCTACTGTTGATATCTGGTTATCTTGTGATGAAGTGCTGTGTTGCTTGCATTGTTTTGTTCTGTTTTGCTTTTTCTGTTCTCTTTTGTTTTATTTTCTTTAAAGTATAAGAAAAAAAGAAAGAAAGAACTATTTTCTACTTTTGCTGGTTTGACTGCTCCATGAATTTCAGTTAGGTTACACTGGTTGAAAGTGGTGCTGAGATTTTCCATATCCTTTCTGATATTCACTGTGTTCTGTCAGCTATTGTGAGAAGAATACTAAAATCTTCAAATGCAATTTTGGAATTTTCCACAACTCATTTCAATTATATAAATTTTTGCTCTATGTATTGTAAAATTCTACCATTAGATGCATTCTATTTCAGATTATTATGTGTTTTGATGAATTTTGGGGAAAATATCCCTCTTCATCTTTGGAAACAGTCCTCATACTGAAATCAAATTTGTGTGAAATATATTCATGCTTTCACCAGTGTTTGCATATTGTTTTTTGTGTCCTTAATTGCCGACTTCTTCATGTTTTGAAATTTACAGGCTCAAGGGTATAAGGGCCTGCCTGGCGAGTGTGAGGTTGTGAGGTTGTGAGTTGAGCCCCGGTACCCCCCCTCCGCCAAAATCCCCCAAAAAACAACAACAACAAAAAAAGAAAACAACTTTACAGCAGTTTTAAAATATAGGATATGTGGATCTCACATTCCACCCAATACGGCAATCTTTGCTTTTTATGTTAAGGCTATTTACATTTAATATGATTATCAACATGCTAGGTTTATGCCCACTGTTTTGCTATTTATTTTCTAATTATCTAAATGTTCTTTTTCTCTTTTACTTATTTTCATTCTCTCAGATTGAATAGGTTTTTAGTTTTTATTATTCTGCTTTACCTGCCTTATTGGTTTATTGGATATACTAATTTGCCTTAATTTTTTTTTGTTCCAGGAATTGAACTCACGACCTTGTGCTTGCCAGGCAAGTGCTTATGCTGCTGAGCTAAATCTCTGGCAATTTTTGTTTTTATACTGGATTGCTGTGGTTCAAAATAAATATTTTATGTAATATACCATGATCTACCTTCAAATAATATTATTTGCCATGTAAAATATAATGTAGTATTTCAACAATGTGTCTATTTTCCTCTCTCATCTTTTTTACTATAGTTTCTATATATTTTTGTTTTAAAGCACATATATATTACTTAGATAATTTATGTTGAAAGATTTTAATAAGAAAACTTTTCTCATATTTACTTACATATTAATCATTTTATCATATTTCATGTTACCACATTTATTGATATACTCACTATTTCTGGTGTTCATTTACTTCATAGATCTAAATATTTATCAGGTATCACTTTCCTTCTTGGAGAATTTCTTTTAATATTTTTCATCTTGCAGTCCTCTTAAAATAAAACCTCTTAGCTTTTGTTTGTCTGAGAAAGGATCTTACCTTCAATTTTGAAGTGCATTTTTGCTGGGTATGTAATTCAAAGTTGAAACATTTTTTCTTTCTTTTAGTATGTGAAGATGTTGTCCTGTTGTCTTCTGGTTTCCATTATTGCTACAGATAAGACTATTGTCATTCATAACTTTATTCCTCTGTGCCTAATATGCTCTCTTCTTCTCTTACTACTTTAAGATTTTTCTGTATTAACATTTTCCTGCAGTGTGGTAACTGTATTACTGTTTTCTATAACAGAACACTGGACACTGGATACATTAAAAGGAAAGGAGGTTTATTTAGTTTACAGTTCTGGAGATTCAGGGGCATGG